ACAGCAGCCTTCCTCACTCTGCAATTTCCTGAGTGCCTCCTGCTGCTCTTTGTAGGGAAACAGCTAATCTAACCCAGGTGTGCCTCATTAGTCATCAGCAATCCATACAGCCCTTAATAGGTGAACTGCCCTGTTACAAGAACCCCCAGTTCATGGACATATCAGATCCCAGCCATGGCCTCTGATGGCTCCAATTAGGGTCACAGAATATCAGGAGGTCATCTAGTCCAACCCCCTGCTCAAAGCAGGACCAATTCCCAACTAAATCATCCCAGCCAGGGCTTTGTCAAACCTGACCTTAAAAACCTCTAAGGAAGGAGATTCCACCACCTCCCTAGGTAACCCATTCCAGTGCTCAGAAGTGTCCAGCCTCCTTACAAGGCCGCCTGCCCTCAGCCAGTCATTTCTCTGTCCAGAACCCTGTGAGACTCCACAGGTCTGGAGCCCCTATGGGGCCTTGACTGTCAACCCTACTCTACTAGCTGCCCTCTAACAGGGGAATCTAATGATCATGGCTGCATCCTCATTAGCCTCCCCCTTCCTTGTGTGCAACAGGCAGGGACAGGAATCTGAGACTCCTGCAGAACCGGAGGAGGATGGACCTGGGGCTGTCTCAGGGTGTCCCCAAAATAAATGGGCCCTGGGCTGATGGGCACCTGGCCACAGGTCCTGCCCCAAGCTCTGGCTGGCAGCAGGGACAGGTTTCTCTGGGGCTCTGTCTCTGGTCCATTTGCTCTGGAGGTTTCTCTCTGTTCAGGAAAAAGAGAAGGATTCTGACCTGACCTGGATCCTCCCCACCCCACTTGCCCCACTTTTCCTGTTTCTGTCCGGGGGGAGGATCATTAGCTGTCACCACCAGAAGGTTCTGGTTATTGCTAGGGGAGAGGAAGGAGGCAGCTCTCTTTGCTCACCATCTCCCAGGTTGAGCTTCCTGTGTGCTGCTGCTCCCCAGCGGGGGTCCATGTGGGGAGATCCCTTCACTAATGCCCCTCTGTGCCCAACCTTCAAAAAATCTCACTATGAGACTAAACAACCCCTAAATAATTAATTTTAGGAACATTTAATATTTCAAAAATGGAGAACAATAAAAGACAAATACAAATTTTTGATTGAAAATATAAAAAAATAAATAAATAAAACAAAAATTTTCAGTCATCCCTCTTCCCTGTTTTTGACTAGCCAGTGATGGTACCTGAGCCCTTTAACCCAGTCAGAAGCCAGGCCCTTTTCCCAAAGGCTGGGGAGAGGGAACCCTGAAGTAGGGCAGTCCAACAGGGTAGCTTCAGGGAGACAGAGCTCCATACCCAAAGCTCCAGTCAGAGGGGCACTGCCAGCTACTGACACAAGGTACCTTTATATTGCCAGTCAGGACTTCAGGGATCATGCCAGGCCAGTGTCAAGAGAGAAGAGACACTTGTCAGGACAGGCCTGCCTGCCCCTGCCCTCTTTGGAAGTCCCCACTCCTGCCAGGAGCAAGGAATGAGTGGAGCTGAGGACCATCCCACAGCCGTTTAATTGGAGTAGATTCCACAATCTCATCTGAACGTAGAGACTGAGCATTTCCAGAGGGAATCTTTCCCCTATCTCTTGCATCGTCACTGGGACCACCAGCTGACAAGCTCTTTCACACAGTAAACTGAGCTTCTTGCCTCTGAGCACTCAGTGTTACGCACTAGGAGTTAATCGTTGTGCTGAGAGGGGTGCATTCAACGGACACCGCTGGCATTGGGTGTGTACGGGTATGTGGGTGCATTCAGCAGGCACAGCTAGCATTGGGTTTGTGCAGGTATGTGGGTGCAATCAGCGGGAACAGATGGCAATGGGTGTGTACAGGTATGTGGGTGCAATCAGTGGGCACAGCTGGTGTTTTGTTTATGTGATGTGTGGGCGAAGGGCTGGTGGTGTTTGTCTAATATCTAATGAGGTGCCTGTTGTCGTTGAAGCTTTTCCCACAGTCACAACACTTGTAGGGTTTCTATTCTGTGAGGATCCTCTGGTGCTGAACGTGGTTTGAGCTCTGAGTGAAACTTTTCCCGCAGTCAGGGCATATAAAAGGCGTTTCTCCGTTGGGATCCTCTGGGCTGAGCTCTCATTGAAGCTTTTCCTGCAATCACACTTATAGGGTTTCTTCCCCGTGTGCAGTCACTGATGGGTGATCAGACTGGATCCCCAAAGGAAGCTTTTCCTGCATTCACCACATGTGTTTGATCTCTTTCCAGTGGGGTGTCTTGGCTGGGCAATTTCTTTGGGTTTCTTGGCTGTCCTGTGAGTGGACTTATTCCCTCTCTTCCTTAGAGGGTGTCCATTCTCCATAACTGGCTCACTCTGATGGTCACAGGCTTTTTCCTGCTCAGGACTCTTGGAAACGCTCCCTTCGGATCTTCCTGAGCCCTTCCCTTGTGGTGCCGCTTGCTCCAGACCTGCCTGCAGAGGATTCTCTTCGCCGTTTTCCCTCACCATCCCGTAACCTGCTGGGATAGAGGATCCAGACAGGAGTCACTCCCTGTGCTGGTGGGCATGGGAACCTGAGAGAGGGGATGGGGAATAGGGCCGGCTCCAGGCACCAGCGGAGCAAGCACGTGCCTGGGGCGGCACATGCTAAGGGGCGGCATTCCGTCCATTCTTGGAGCAGCAGAGTCCAGGCAGGGTTTTTTTTTTTTTTGTCGCTTCGGCAGTTCGGGCGACAGCAGTCCGAGTGGCTTTTTTTTTTTTTTTTTTTTGCTTGGGGCGGCAAAAATGGTAGAGCCGGCCCTGGGTGCTAGATTCCCTTTCTGAATATTAGCTAAATCTGGAAAGGAAAAGTCAATTTCTGCTTCCATGGCTCAGAAGTGGAAATCCTCCTAGGTGCCTGGTACTGTATCTAAAGCTGCTCAGGTTCTCTAGTAGAGCCTCCCCTCCCTTACTTTTCATTTTAAATTCTAGTTGGATCCACGTACCTCCCTTGCTAGGCTTCAGATAGAGAGGTGCACTGTCCATTTAGTCCACCCAATTCTTTCTTTGGGGGCTGTAAGGTGAGGTCTCACACACCAGTATCCCTAATCCAGTCTGGGGATGTCTTCTGAAGGGGATAGATGGGCCAAAGCCTTCTACTCCTTGGGCATACTTGTTCCCTGTTTTAGGGTTACCTACCATACGTCCATATTTTCACGGACATGTCCAGCTTTTTGGGTTTTAAATAGACGTCCGGGAGGAATTTGTAAAACTCTCAAAAGGTCCGGGATTTCCCTCCCAACGCATAGCGCAGCTGACAGGGTGGCCCGGCCGGATTGAGCCGCTCGCATCAGGGACACCAGCAGCCAGAGCCCCACCCCTGCTCCCCCACCTCTCCTCCCCTGCAGTCTCAGCGTGCCACACCAGCAGCCCTCGGGGGGGGACAGGGCTGGGCACTCAGGGGGAGCGCAGCAGCGTGTCTGGCTCTGCATGGAACCAGACACGCTGGTCTGAGCGGCATGGCAAAGGGGTCGGGGGGCAGTCAAGGGACAGGGAGCGGGGGATTGGATGGGTCGGGTGTTCAGGGGGGGCTGTCAGGGGCCGGGGGTGTGGAGAGGGGTCGGGGCAGGTCAAGGGACGGGGGGGTTAGAGTGGGTCAGGGGTTCTGGGGGGGCCAAGTCAGGGGACAGGCAGTGGTTGGATAGGCGTGGGAGTCCCGGGAGTCTGTCAGGGGGCGGAGGTGTGGATAGGGGTT